TGAGCATAATCTCTACTATAGGCATAATTTATGATATTAGCCTAATCTGTAATATTAGCATAATCTGTAGTATTAGCATAATCTGTAATGTTAGCATCATCTGTAATGTTAGCATCATCTATAATGTGAGCATAATCTCTACTGTAGGCATAATTTATGATATTAGCATAATCTGTAATATTAGCATAATCTGTAATGGTAGCATAGTCTGTAATGTTAGCATCATCTGTAATGTTAGCATCATCTATAATGTGAGCATAATCTCGACTATAGGCATAATTTGTGATATTAGCATAATTTGTAATGTTAGCATAATCTCTGCTATAAGCATATTCTCTGATGTTAGCATAATCTGTAGTATTAGCATAATCTGTAATGTTAACACAAACTGCAATATTAGCATAATCTGTAATGTTATCATAATCTCTACTGTAAGCATAATCTGTGATATTAGCATAATCTGTGATGTTATCATAATCTGTGGTGTTAGTATAATCTCTACTGTAAGCATAATCTGTAATATTCTAATCTACGAAGCGCTCAGCTTCATACAGAGTCTGTGTTTATGAGGCAGTGGAGAGACTCTGAAGTGCTCTGGAGTTTTTTATGTGTGTAAGAACGATAAATAATTGATGGGAATAAGTTTAGTGAGTGTATTAAATAATATATATTTCTCTCTTTTTAAGGACGAGCGGTTTGTCTTATATTAATTTTAAATTTAAAAATCTATTTATCTTTACTGAAACTGCCAATAATTCAAATCTGAGGCAGGCATAGTACTAAAGAGAGAGAGAGAGAGAGAGAGAGAGAGAGTATTGAGAGGAACCACCACCTTTATTATACTGTTTAATCCACTGTGGCAACTGATGGACAATGAGAAATTCATCCTAATTGAAACTGTGAGGTTAATGTGGGGCTCGATTTATTATTACTGTGTTTTTGTCACTGTTAAAGAGTGAAAGGCAGCATAGAGAGAGAGAGAGTGAGAGAGAAAGACAGAGAGCGGGAGACAGAAAGAGAAGCTTAATCAGGGAGAAACAATCCCGAGTCCCTTCGGAGTCCGTCTGTCTACGGCTTCCCTCCTGATTCCCCTATAGGTCCTAATGAGAGGGAGCAGGAGGGATGGAGGGATGGAGGGATGTACGAGAGGTGGAATGGAGGCAAAGGTAACTGCAGTGTAACTGCAGCACCATTTATGATGGAATGGAAGATCCAGATGAGGATCTGGTGAATGAGAAGCTTCGTCTTTATTTCTGTGTATGAGTTTATTATTTATTAGTTTCGGCCGTTTTGGTTCCACTTTTATTAGTTTTCATAAAATCTCACACTGGAATGTTCTGAACTCTGGAGATGTGCAGGTTATACTGGTCCACCAATCAGCTGATCTTCTCCTCGTAGTGTTTTCTGGAGACGCAGCTAAAACGTCCACATATCTGTCCATGTGTTTGTGGTCATTCTGGTCTGTGTTGTTGGTGTTTATCCTGTGTCTGCAGTAAAGGTGACGAGACGCAAGTATATGTAACTGCAGCCTGGAGAACCAGTGGGCGTAACGAATAGGCGGAGACACTGTCAATCATTTTTTGCATCAGCAAATCATGTAACAGAGATGAACTGTCAGTCAAAACTTGCATTGGCCAATCACAAGTGTGAATTGCCTGTCTCTCATTTTGTGCGTCAGCCAATGGTGTGTGTGTGTATATATATATATGTATATATATATATATATATATATATGTATATATATGTATATATATATATTTCACTCCACTACATTGTGTGAAATCTGTCAGTCCTTTTGTCGGACGTGTGCATGCTTGGGTCTCTAAAGCAGGACGGAGTTCATGCAAACACTGACTGACCATCACAAATAAAAGCATCAGTGAACTGATAGAACACTGATAGAACACTGATAGAACATGTTCTTCCTGACTTTGTGGGTAAATACATGAACACAACACAGAAATATGTCCACATATGCAGTTGTGACTGACGTGTCTTTGTTCTGAGTTTATACAAAACACTGTTTCATTTCATAGTAAATTTGTTTTGGCTAGTTTATGTTTATGAACAGAGGCATTTCTAGAACATAGTAAAGGAAAACTCATTTGTGAACCTGTGATTAAGGCAAGTTTAACTTAAACCTGTAATTTAGTTGCAAATAAATCTTAAACTAAACTTTGCTTGTTCACAAAAGGTTATTTCGGAGTCACTTGGTTCCTAATGGAAACTTTGCCTTCAGTGTTTTGTGCTTATGATATGATTTTAGGTCTCCTGTCTGCAGTAATTCCCCTTCTCACTAACCTGGGTGTTAAACTGAACTAACAGCACCTAGATTGTACTTTAATGTTTGGCTGCTCCTGCTTAGTGATATCATCGCTCTATCCGTTTTTCGTCCATAAGGCGGCGAGAGAGTTACGTTTAATGTACTTCACTGTTGAGAAAAGTCATAGAACCCATTAAAAGTGTCTGTTGGTTCCTGGTGGTGTTCAGTAGTCGCTAATGGTGTTCTGGGTTGATATCACAGTGTAAAGGACTCAGTGCAGGTCTGCAGCCAGACCCTTAGATTGGCTAATGCAAACAATGACGGACAGCTCGTTCTAATCTGCAGTTGGCCATTGCAAAATGTGATTGATGGCCAAGAGTAGTTATTTAATTGGTTGATGCAAAACATGATTGACAGACTCCCGCCCCCCCACCAGTTCCCTCCCCTTTAGGTCTCCGGTCTGCAGCGTTCCCCTTCTCATGAGACGAGCTCCATCACAGCGCAGTCAGAGTCACAGCTCACCTACTAGCACGGAGACGAGCTCTTCTTAATGACGTAATCCAGTACTATGAACAGGCATCAATCGCTGTAAGGCTACATTAGACAGGAATGTTATCTGAAGTAGCCTTTATGACTGATGATGAAATTTTTGAGATTTTGAAATGTGTTGATTATTTAGTGACCTTATTGGCATTATTCCAATTCTGGAACCTGATTTCTGATCCCCATTTCTAAACGATACCTAAACAAAGAGGTTTTTAGACTCTCTCTCTCTCTTTCTCTATCTCACTCTCTCTATCTCTCTCCCTCTCTCTCTCTCTCTTTCTCTATCTCACTCTCTCTATCTCTCTCCCTCTCTCTCGCTCTCTATCTCTCTCTCTCTCTCTCTATCTCACTCTATCTCTCTCTCTATCTCTCTTTTTCTCTCTCTCTCACACACTTTCTCTCTCTCACTCTCTCTCTCTCTCTCTCTTTCTCTATCTCACTCTCTCACTCTCTCTCTCTCGCTATCTCTCTCTCTATCTCTCTCTCTCACTCTCTCTCTCTCTCTCTCTTTCTCTATCTCACTCTCTCACTCTCTCTCTCTCGCTATCTCTCTGGCTATCTCTCTGGCTATCTCTCTCTCTCTCTCTCTCTCTCTCTCTCTCTCTCTCTATCTCTCTCTGTCTCTCTCTCTGTCTGCACCTGCTTCTCTATTTAACATTCATGGCTGTAAGAGGCGCGTAATGTGCATGTCTGTGTGTGTGTGTGTGTGTGTGTGTGTGTGTGTGTGTGTGTGTGGGTGTGTGTGTGGGTGGGTGAGTGGGGGAGGTGGGCAGACAGTGTTGTATTCATCACTTTCACTTTTACACCGTCTACTCCAACCAGTTTTATCTCCAAGAGAGAAAACAAAAAAATAACCTCTCTCTCTCTCTCTCTCTCTCTCTCTCTCTCTCTCTCTCTCTCTCTCTCTCTCTACTGCAGTTAAATTGATATTTCCTGTTTGTGGAAATCATTCACGACAATCTGCGGTGGGAGCTTTAGCAGGTCCACTTAGCCGTTAGCCGTTTAATGGATACGCGGTAGTTGACAAAATGACCCTGTGTTAGTCTGTAATCGATGCTGCAGTCTGACCGCAGGCTGTCCAGCTCCGCTCGCCGCGTCTCCTGAGTAATAGATATTAATCTTTAATTAAAAGGTGGCCCAAAGGCTCAATTTGATTGGTCTGTGTGTCGTACACCTCGCACTGTTTCTCTCTCTCTTTCATTGTTTTAAACACAACATACTCGGCCCTCCGCCCTCTCATCGTCCCGCCTCTTCTTTTCTCACCTCCGTCTCATCTCTTCTTTTCGTGTCTCCTCACGTCTCGTCTTTTCTCTTCTCCTGTCCTCTCATGTTGTCTCATCTCTTTTCTTATGTTCTCTTCTCCTCTCTTCTAATCTCATTGTATCTCTTCTCAGCTCATCCCATCACTTCTCATCTTTTCTCATCTCCTCATGTCTCATCTTCTCTTTTCTTCTGTCTGTGTCGTGTCTATGTTCTCTTCTTCTCCCTTCTAATCTCCTCTGGTCTAATCTTATCCTGTCTTTTCTCTCATCTCCTCACGTCTCATCTTGTCTCGTCTTGCCTCTTCAGTTCTTTTTGTGTCTCGTCTTGTCTCATCTCTTTTTCTTATGCTCTCTTCTCCTCCTTTCTAATCTCATCTCTTCTCATCTCATCCCGTCTCTTCTTAACTTTTCTCATCTCCTCATGTCTCATTTTGTTTCTTTTGTCTTTTCTGTTCTGTTCTGTCTTATCTTGTTTCATCTGTTTTCTTATGTTCTCTTCTCATCTCATCCCGTCTCTTCTCATCTCTTCACGTCTCACCTTGTCTCTTCTAATCTCATCGTCTCTCTTCTCATCTCATGTAGTCATTTCACATCTGTTCTCATCTTCTCATGTCTCGTCTTGTCTCTTTTTGTCTCGTTTTTGTCTTTTCTGTTATTCCTTCATGTTATCTTCTTATTTCTCCCTTTGTCTTTACCTCTCCCTTTCTGTAGACTCTCTCTCTCTCTCTCTCTCTCTCTCTCTCTCTCTCTCTCTCTCTCTCTCTCTCTTTAAATTCAATTCAGTTCAGTCTACTTTATTGACAGAACAAATAATGGCACATTTGTGTCGTCAGTGCTTGGGTTACAAAGTGAATATTCAGTATTTCTCTCTCTCTCTCTCTCTCTCTCTCTCTCTCTCTCTCTCTCTCTCTCTCTCTCTCTTCCTTCAG